CTCCCTGGTGGCGCAACGGGTTAAATCACAGCACTGAGAAGCTTAAGCCACTTCCGCATGAGTTCATTCCCCCCTGCCCTGGAGGAGATTCACATGGCACTCCAAGTCTGGACCCGCCCACTGCTCCCCTCAGCAGTGTACTTCTTCGATCTGCCTGTTCTGCTCCCCATTCTGTCTTTGGTGAAGTGTGGACATTCTGGAAGAACTGGTGACTTTACCACGTTCAAACAATGAGAAATGGTATTTTGTGGGTCCAGACTGAGGCCTGCTCACCTCTCAGAATCCCCAGTGTGGTTGAGCCCAGCGGCCTATCATGGCCTTGCTATCACATTCTAGCAATCAGGAGTGGGGGCGATTCTGGTGGCCCAGAGTTCATTCTGCACCAAGTGGACAGATTTTCAGCAGCAATGTGGCCCATGGTTTGTAGACCATTTTTTTCCCATAAAATATAGAAAACTCAAATATTTTGTGAAATCTTTTATTTTTATAGTTGGCAGTAAATGTCAAACAATATGATGTGGTCCAAAGAAACATGTCTGGGGGCAAAATGCAGACTGTGAGTTTAGCATTTACAACCTCTGCATCAGAGTATAGCAACATTTAGAATAACCAAGATCTTCATTCTCCAAATAAATGTGGAAAAGAATTTCAGAAATTAACCCTTTCTCTTTGGCCAGTGGAGTATCAATTCATACCTTTTGGTTTATTTCTCTGGTGCAGGAGATCAACAATGCACACCTAGCAGTATTAGGAAGAAACAGCCCTATCGTCTTACCTCTTTCTCTGCTGTGCCTCCCTCTGGTCTCCTGGAAGCATGAGATTAAGTTGGACTGAGGTGGTGTGGGCATGGGGAGGCGGTGCTCTCTATTTCATTCAAGACTCACTTTCAGAGACTAAATGAAAGACATCTGCTGTAGTTAGCACTGATTTGATAGAGAACACTAACACCTGAATGCTTTGTGCTTTTACTTGGGTGTCTCATTGACCTTCATGAGTGAGAATTCATAGCATGTGTTTGAAGGCCCCACAGGTTCTTTTGCTTAGGAAGTCCTGAGCTTGGTGACAGGCATCAGGGCTCAGTTTTTGAGTTGGGCGTGGTTGAATGAAGAAGCCCATACGTTTCTGAAGATGGCGACAATCTAGATGTGAGGCCAGAGACACAGGGGTTGAAAGAACTGATCAAAAACAGATGGAGCACAGATAAAGGAGTATTTATGAAATAAATGCACTGCTAAAAGCAGCAGCAAGGGACATGGTAGAGGTCTGTGCATGAAAGATGATTTGAAGCTCTCTTTTATATGCTATTTTCACAGGAGCTCTAAATTGGGGTGCCAGTTTGCAGTTATGTGCTGCGATATCTGGTCTCGGGTGTTAGCTTTTGACACAGAAACATGTCCTGGCCCCTGCTTCTGCATTCCTGAAGCCGGGCTGTTATTTCTGGTCATGGTGATTGGCTTCATTGCCATGTCCTTATCCATTTCGTTATCTACCTGGGCAAGGAGTGGGGGTCTGGATTTTAATCTTATTAAATTGTACCCCTGCAACAGGGTGGTGCCTAGGAAAAGGGGAAGTTCCAGGTTCCCTGCCCCACCCAGAAGGAGGGTGGAGCTGAGGAGAGAAAAAGGAGAGAAGAGAAGGAATCAGAGAAGAAGAGAAGGAAGCTGGATGGAGAACAAGAAGGAGACCTGAGGAAGCCACATGGAGCAGCAAGCATGTGATGAAGAAACCGTGTTTTGTTTCCTGACCCTGAACTGGTTAAGGCAGATGTGAGTGAGATACCTGTAGGGAGGTGACTATGGCAGTGATTATATTGATTTTGATTTTGCTCTTTTCCTCCCACATTTGTCTGGCCATTTCTGACCCTTTTCCATGGGTCCCAGCCAGAAGGTGCTTCAGTCTCGTGGCAGGCTTTCAGGCCTTGCTTTGGGCCAATCCCTTTTGGGTTGACTTTTGCCCACGAGGGGATGGGTAACTTCAGATGTTATATTCTTTGTGTTCCGTATTGCATATTTACTGTATTAAAGTCCCTTTTCATTAAAGTTTTATATGTTTTGTCTTGTTGCGGCGGATGGCAGAACCCACTTAGAGCAGGCAGGTTTTGGGGCTTCAGTGGTGCTCTCCCCCTGCCCTGTAACACCTGGATATTTTTTCCACTCGTACTTACTTCCACCAGTATTCCAGACATGTACCTAAGGGCTATATAAAGGCTTCACAGGCTTGGAAAGGGGAGTCACCATCAAGGTCATGGTTAAGCATGGACATTGGAATTTGTTCATCTCCCAGCTTTAGGACTAAAAGTTACAGGACTAGCAAGGAACTGAAGCATTTAAGTATGAAGAGGTCTGGCCAACAAAGTCACTGATGTTAGCTATTGTTATTATTCTTGGTAGTAGAAGTCATTATGCTTTCATGGTTCCTACACTGGTGTCCTTAACTCTAGTATTTATCATACTCCAGACTTTGTTATTCTCTTTAACTTGGCAGATATCCCACACTTGTACCTAACTGTCTATTTCAGTTACTTTTTTTATTTTGGCAATGGAATCGGCTTTATACTTCCATGCACTGCAATGTAGGTGTTCCAGTTGCAGCAGAGAAAGCTGAGATTCAAACAGACCCCCATGGGGCCACAACTGGAACATGGGATTGGGTTCTACAGATGCATTTCTGACTCTAGATAAGACATGTAGCACACTGGCTTTAAATTTGCAAATTGACTTCACACTTCTGTTTAATCAATGAATATTTACATGGAAAAAAAAGCAGTGATGCCATCAGGCAGAATAAGTATGAACTAGGAAGCAGAAAATGGATATGGGCATCATTTCCAATCTTCTAAAAAAGAATAGTCAAGGAAACTGAGTTTCCTGAATCCATAATTCTTATTCTGATTAAAAGCCCTTTGGCTTATTCATCCTCATTTACATAACACTATAGTGACTTTACCACCATGCTTGCCTCTGAGCTTTCATCTGTGAGAAGTCTGCTGTAGCTGAGTATGTCTTTCCAGAACCTAAAAACATGTTAATTTTCATTCCTGAATGCATTTGACCTTATTCTTAAATAACTCCATTACAGAACACTGGGCTCTGGGATAGGGAGGCTTGAAAACTCTGTTTTTTAGGAGATTCTTTTCCTAAATGTTTGGCTGTAGTATCCTGCCCTGATATTTTCTGCTCACTGTAGAGAAAGGGTCAGCAAGCTTTTCTTAAAAATTGTAAATATTTTAGTATTTGTAAATTTTATGAATTGAAGTCATATCAATGAATAGACATGGCTTTGTTCAAACAAAACTTTATTTATAAAAATATATTTTAGTATTTGTGAATTTTATGAATTGAAGTCATATCAATGAATGGACATGGCTTTGTTCAAACAAAACTTTATTTATAAAAATAAGAGGCACAGTTTCCATCTCTCAAGCCCTGCAGTAAAGGCAAATATAGCTTGGAGCCTGTGTTCTGTTCAGAATATTTTTTTTTAAAGATTTATTTATTTGTTCATACAGAACTGGGGTACAGGCCAGAGGCTCAGGGGTGGCGAGAGGCTTCACCAGAGACAGAGTGGGGAACAGAACAGGCAGATCTACGAAGTACACTGCTGAGGGAAGCAGCGGGCGGATCAGGAGAGGTCTGCCACACCATGTGGTCACCTCCGGGGCATGCGGGAATCGAACTCATGCGGAAGCGGCTTTAGCTTCTCAGTGCTGTGCTTTAACCCGCTGCGCCACCAGGGAGGGCCATGTTCAGAATATTTTAATATTCTCAATGCATGTTCAGAAGATGGTTTAGTATTTAGTTATGTCCGATATGTTCTCCAACTATAAAGCTTTGGTATGAACCTTTAAATTGGTTAGAATATCAGTGCCATTTTCCAAACCGTTTTATGTGGTATATTCTGGGTTTGGAATAGGTTGTGTATATAAAAGGGTATGTTGCTTTTCCTAGATTCAAGAAGAATTAGCATGACACTCAAATGCATTTGTCTAGAAAAAAATGACCAATGGTCAATGCTTGGGATTAGGAAAGAGAAAATTAGCCTGTGTTTTGGTGTAACTGTTCTCCCAATCTGGCTTTAACACTTTAAAATGATTTGGTTGACGACTTTCATTTACCCATGCTCGATGTTCTTTTGTTGTAGCTTAAAAATTGAAATGGTTTAGAGAAAGAATAAAATAATCACCCATATAAAATTAATCCATACACTTTTTCGATTCCTTTTAAACTTTCAGCTAGTCAAAGTCAGTAACATCTCACATGTGAAATAAGTGCCATAAAGGATCCTATTATGGTATCTTCTCCCCTTAAAAATAATGTAAAACTGGGCCCTCCATGGTGGTGCAGCAGGTTAAAGCACAGCACTAAGAAGCTAAAAGCCACTTCGGCATGAGTTGGATCCCCATTCCGGAGGTGACCCAAAATGGCACAACAGACCATCCCTGGCCCACCTGATGCTCCCCTCAGCAGTGTACTTCGTCAGTCAGCCTGTTCTGCTTCCCACTCTGTCTCTGGTTAATCCTCTCACTGGCCCTGCATCTCTGGCCTGTACCCCAGTTCTATATGCATAAATAAATAAATAAATACATAAAAACAATGTAAAACCACTGATTCCTTACCTGAAACTTTTTGATAGATGCTGATTCCTTTTTCGGTGAATTTCTAGATCAATAATTTCTCAAGGTCTTTGCCTGGGTAAAACCTATCTTAGACCTTCAAACTGCCAGTAGTAATTGGCCTCAGAGTATCTTCAAATGAATGAAAAATATATACTAAGCACACTTAAAAATCCTTAGGCATTTTATACCAGAACAGTGGAGAGAGACAAGACATGAAGTGTCTTCTTTACCCTGATGTAGAGTGACAGGATTCAGAGAATTCTCAGGTACCAGAAAGATCAGAGTTGTGAAAAAGAAGGATTTCCTTGGTAAAGAAATGACAATATTTTGTCACTTACATTTAAGAGTGAATTAAAATGAAAATTTATTTTAGAAGCTTAATTTTGTTCCAGAAAAACTTTTTTTTCGTCCTCTGAAATGGTTTACATATTAAGGAGAACAACTCCTGTTCTGGCTGGAGATGTAGGTTCAAGGAATAAATGAGATGATGCAGAAAGAAGTACAAATTCTTCATGACAGACATAAATTCTGCATTGTGTGGTCTGCAAAATTGCTGCTTACTGTTTTCTTCTGGGAGACTGTTAATTCATGATGTATGATAATTTCCCACATCATTCCATAGATTAACTGCTTAGGTTTTGTGATATATATAAACAAAATTTTCTCCAAAGATGCTATTAAAATAAAACCAGTACTTTGTTTTACAGTATGTCATTCAGTTATTTAAAGACCAGCTCTCCAGACAATTCTATGATATATTTCACAGCATCCCGTGAAAGAGTTGTTGGGCAGATACTTGATACAAAGGCAATGTCTGTACCAGACCTGGTATGTTAAAAGGATATTCCAACAACTACATTTGGCCAAAATAGGCTATGATGACTTTCTACCCTTTATATCTTACAATCCCAGACATTTCCTTCTTGAAAATAACAATTATTACAAAGATTATCAGACTGTGAGATTTAGCATTTATAGACATTTCAAAATATGACAGTGAATTTAAAAGGTTGAACAGATTTATTGTACTTTTCCAAGGTTTTGAATTACATTTTAAAGTTTATCAGATATTGTGATATTAAAGATTAATATGGTAATATTAAAGATAAGTTCTTTGAACTTGAACTGGTAGCAGTTGTGTCAGACAGTGTGGGTCACTGGACATTGGGTAGTACATCTTGTGTCCACACATCATGTGAGTTTTGCAGAATGCTGCATTATGTAGACTGTTATTGCAAAACAGGCAATTAAGGCACTAAATTTTTCCATAAAGTCCATCTAAGTAAAACTTGTGGCTTCTCATCTTTGGGGATGAATATCTTGCCCTTCAGAAGAGGCAGTAGGGGGAAAATGCTACAGAAACCAGCAGCTTCTATGCCTGAAACACCTTAAGAGTTTCATTTCACTCACTACTTCTCTTCTCCACCTTGTTTATTCATCTGACATTGACTTTCAACATTTACTTATGTACCAAGCATGGTTCCAGGCTCTCGGGGTACACTGCAAGTGAAAGTCCCTGCTCCGGAAGACTTACGCTCTAGTAGGAAGACACGGGAAAGCACAAATGCTCAATATCACCAGGTCTAAGATATCCTCTCGGAATATCTCCACTTGCTGCAATTCCTCATTTTGGGTAGTGATGAAGTGAAAAAGGCCAGCCATGGACTTTGGGATGGTTTCATTAGTTTCAACTTGGCCATCTCAAAGGTGGGTAAACTGAAGTGTACTTCAACCTATCTGGATCTCATTTTATCATTTATACAATGCAGATTAAGTGGCCTTTGGATTAAGTAATTTTTTTAATAGGAGAATGGGCCTTTTCATATTTTTATTTTCAATTGTTTTCATAGAGGCATCTTACATGAAGTTGAGAGCCACTCTGTTGACTGTTCTATATTTTAAAAAACTGGGGCCCAGGGGCATGTGGTGGAAGATAATGGTTGGTAGTTGTGGTGTGCCAACTGCATGAAGCTGTGTGAACCAATACCTCTAAATCATACACATTGTAAAACAATGTTAGCTCAATAAAAATGATAGAATTTTAAAAAAATATATAAGAAATCCTTGGTTATTCCATACAATTTTCATAAATAGCAAATATCTCAGTCATCCAAGAAATAATTTACCCATAAATAAAAGCACATTTATTTTAATTGTTGGTTACATGATCCCACCTTATTTGTGAAATGCTCTAGCTGTGAAGTCCTGCCTTGGATATGACCTGGTCTTTCTCCTGTTAACCCAGATCATCAACTTTGGGTTCTTTTTAGTCTTCCCACAGCACTATTAGCTCCATGAAAACAAGAGTTGGGTCTTCAGTTTTGTTTTGTTTTTAAGAAAATCCAAACGAGATTCCATGTAGGTAATCCACAGACACGTAATCATGCCACCAACACCAAGTTTGAAGGGTACAGGTCATTTGAGAAACACATTAGCTCTTTAGGCTTTAAGGACCGTTGACTAGTAAAATGAGAGCTATGATATACCAAATAGTATGCTAACATCCAAAAAGGAAATATATTTCCAGAACAATTCACAGACAGTAGGACAAAGTGAATTAATAAATATTCTCATCTCTTCAGAAGCCTTGGTGGAATGTTAATGTATATTAATGATGATTAATTATTAATTCTACAAGCAAAGTAGCATGTATTTTATAATCAGTTAATTTTTTCCTAAAGAAGATAAAAGTAGCGGAGAGTTGAATGTCAAATAAGGTTAGACTTATTAACTTGGTAGGAGTGATGAAAGAACTGATAACTGATTCTCTTGCAAGACAAATTGCTTTCTCGGTTTGATTTTGAAATGCAGACTCAAATTTTAATCAATCCAGCAGCTGAAGATGACAGTAAATTTTATGGGACTAGAAGGAATCTCCCTTTCTTATCTGGATAAGATCCCACCACCCCGTTGGAGGTTTCTGAAGGCTGCATGCTCTGTCTTTGAGTTTGTCATCTCCTTTGTAATAAAACATCCTAAACACATGTTCAAATGTGATCAGAGGGCCCTATCAAAATGATACATCTTGTCTGTCTTTGAAGGCACAATTAAATCTCTGCCTCAATAACCGAATGTAATTCCTTCCTGTTGCACTGCGGTGTCAAAATATATAATGTCAATGTCATTAGAAACACCTGACAAGGGCTGCTGTGTTCACAGCATCTGTCCTGTCCTTGCAGTCACTGAATTAGTGGCCACATCCTACCAAACCTGAGGGCAAGGCAGCCCAAGGGGCCCCGAGAAGCTCAAAGCAACATCACAACATCTTTGGGCAATAAACTATCGTAAACAGTGTCTTTATGGACCATGAGGAGAGGGCAGGTCCACAGACATCAGCTGCATAAATGAAGGTCAGAGAAGAATAAGGAGGTTCAGACAATTCTTAGCAAATTAGATGATAGTTACAGTTAAATTCCTGTTAGCAAAGGAAATGCCCTTTGGTGCACATCACGGAATCTGCATCTGTGGTAAAGGTGTTGAGTGTGTGCTATCCATAAGTACTCAGTCCCTTTCACACAAGGACAGGGCCAGGAATGACAGCCCTACCATACTGTGTGTACTTAATCAGCAAGACTGCAGTGCTGCCTGGCATCCAAAGGGCCCATGCTTGGGTACAAGAGTGCTTGGGTGCTGGCTTTGGCTTTAGGTTTCCAAAGGTCACTGTGTGCAATGCACTCTTCAGGATGTTCTTGAGTTGCAAAACAAATACAGCTCTTAAGTCCAAACCTCCATGGGCACTATGGCTTCTTTAGATCCAACAGAAGGTAGCAGGCATTCTGCAGCCAAAAAATAAAAGGGGAATTGCACCAAGAAGCCACGGATCTTTTTCAGTTCTTCCTCAGCTCGAGTGGGATCTTCCTTTGCTAGTATAGGCTTGTTGATGAACTCTCTCAGCTGATTTAAATTGTGTACTTCATCGCTGGGGAGGCACCGGAACACCTGATTCAAACACAAATAGGAAACTGAGTGATAAGTTCACAAGGAAACACATGCTCTTTATGGAAGATTTCTATTCCAACAGACGAAAGTATTAGTTTTATGTTATAGCACTAAGCTGATTGAAAGTTATTTCTCTTTTTCTCTACAATAAACTGCTGGATTTGCTTCCATTGAAAAAAATCATGGCCAGCTCTGTACATGAGATGTACACAAGCTATTAACCCTGGGATAAAGTCAAGTTTATGGTTATGAACTTCACTGATGCTACTCACACTAAGGTTAATTGGAAAATAGTCACCTCTGAATTTCACTGTATATACTGGACTAAGAGGAAACATACACATTTTCTTGTTTTATTTAGAAAAATGATCATACTTGTACTTTCATTAATGTTATCAATTGTGTACTTATTTGCTGAATTGTTTTCATTTTCAACTAAAAGAGGTTTCAGACATCTCGTCATTTCACCACACATTTTTGTCATGTGTAAGAGAACTGGGGTGTAGGGAGAAGTGTGGGGGATGAGAGGATTTATCGGATTAGGGAGCTTAACAGGGGGATTTACTGAAATATACTGCTGAGGGGAGTAGTGGGTAAGGGAGGAAAGGTCTACTGTGCCATATATAAGTCAGCTCCCTGACTGAATTGAACTCGGACCATGGAGGTAATAGAACTGAAATTTAACCCCTAAGCCATCAGGGAGGCATATTTTTCCTATAAATAAGGCCATGTGCTTAGATAACGACAATATCATTCTCTGGGCTCAGAAAAATCAACTGTGTGCCATTTAAGATATGGTCCACATTCAGATTTATTCATTATCCCTCAAATTTCTTTAACAAATGAGGAATTTCTCTCCCAAATGAGGCTGGGTGCTGCAGATCACATATAAAGCTCTGTAGACAGTTGTCATGATTCATGAGGAATAGTGAAGCCTCCACAATGGAAGGGTATATGGAAGTCATGAAGGAAAACTCATTCTTCCCCAATTTCTGATATACTGCCAATGGATCTCAGCTTAAAGGTTTTCTATGACAGAAATCTGGCTATTTAATAGAGTAACCTGTTAAACACTGTGGGACAAGTCTTAACTTTTATATGTTCCTTATTATAGCCAGTGGATATAACTTAGCAGATGATGCATTTGGCCTTCCTAACAAATGGAATTGGTTTCAAAACACCTCTCCCATATTAAAGCTATCCAACAAAGGAAGTTTCTCACTATTAATACATTTCATCATAAAAATGGAAACCACTTACCGTGTGCTTAGTGCTATTCTCTATTCTCATGATCACCCTAGTGAAAATCACTCCCAGTTTGTAAAAAAGAGTTTCAGAAAGTCAAGTTAGTATACATGATGATATCAACAGCAATTTGGTGAGCTGGGAACTGGACAGAACCTATGTCTGACTCACTATTTGGTACCACATACTTTAAAACATTAACTACGATGCTTTTTGACTCTGTTTTTTAAGTGTCTACAAAAGGCATTTAATACAGTTAAGAGGGGTGTTGGTTTTTTCACACTTAGTAAGACTGCTGTGTACCAAAAATTTGAAGAAATAATTATATGCTTTTGTGATGAGATTCCATTTAAAAAAGAGGTGAGAATTACGCAAACCTACCTTATCATAAATTGTAGCATTTCGAGCTGCCGTTGACACCCACACTTCCTTAAAGAATTTGTCACTCACTGGATCCTGAATGTCCTCACTTGGGTCAGAAAGATAGCCAAGGACAACCCTGAAACATAAGTGACCTCCAAATTGAGAAATTAAAATAAAGCAGTTTGTGGTAGGCATTGTTTATACTGGTGGTGCAATTTAGTCACTCAACCATAGATTCAATTTTTTTCAACTTAGCACTTCAACTTTATTTAATTAAGTACCATTGTTTTGCATCTTTCTTAGTAGTTTGACAGTATAGGACTTCTCCCCTCAGGTATGGTCACCTGAGCTCTCCCATCACCAGAGTACCCATAGTCCTCCACCATATTTCATTGTGCTCTCCTGCCCTCCTGCCCCACCCCTATTTCCATCCCCTTCTTTCTCCTTCCCTTCCCTCTCTTGGATGACTCAGATCAATGGTTAGTTTTCAAAAGCTGGTTTTAAAGTTTGTCTTTGTTTGAGCCTTTGATTTCTCTATGTTCTACATCTTTCTCCTGGCTTACTATGCATAGCAGCATCCCTTCCAACTCTATCCATGCTACCTGAAAAGGTATGAGCTTATATATATTTTTATAGCTGAGTTGTATTCCACCACATCTTGATTCATTTAACTATTTTGGGGCATTATGGTTATTTCTATAGCTTGTATATTATAAATAGTCCTGCAATAAATATGGGGTATAGGATTCCTTTCAAATTAGTGTTTTTGTAAACTTTGGGTAGATATCTAGAAGAATTGCTGGATTTTACGGCAGATCATTTGAGGAACTCCACACAACTTTCCATAGGGACTGAACCAATCTATATTCCCACTAATAGTGAAGAAGAGTTCCATTTTCTCCACACCAGCACTTGTTGGTTCTTCCTCTTCTATTATTTTCTTTTTAATTTATCATACACAGTGGTATAAGTATATTATCGTTGCAGTTTTGATTTGATTTGCATGTCACTGATTTTTGGTGATGAACATATTTCCATGTGCCTGATGGCCATTTTTGTCTTCCTTGAAGTGTCCTTTTAGCTCTTCTGCCCATTTAAAAAAATACGTATTTATTTATGCATACAGAACTGGGGTTCAGGCCAAAGGTGCAGGGGTGGTGAGAGGATTCACCAGAGACAGAGTGGGGAGCAGCACAGGCAGATCGAGGAAGTACACTGCTGAGTGGAGTAGCACGTGAGACAGGAGAGGTCTGCTAAGGCATGTGGGTCACCTCCCAACAGGCAGGGAACAAACTGGCACTAAAGTAGCAGTGCCAGCTTTGTGTGCTGTGCTTTAACCCGTTGTGCCACCAGAGAGGGCCCCCTTTTTTTTTGATTGGATTGTTTGCTTTGTTTTTGTTGAGCTGGGTAAGTTTAAAAAAATTTTTAAAAAGATTTTATTTATCTATTTTGTGTAGAAGAACTGGGGTGTATGCCGGAAGTGTGTGGGGGAGGTGAGACAGATTGGGGAGCGGAGCAGGCACTGAGAAAGGACAAGTGGAGAGACAGGTGATGTCTTCAGCACCATATGTGGGTCACCTCCCTGGCAGGGGATCGAGCTCAGGCCATAGCCATGGGACTTAACCTCTAGGTCACTAGGGAGGCCCTGTGTAAGTCTTTGTAGATCTTTTACATCAGTCCTTTATCTGATGCATGGTGTGCAAGTATTTTCTCCCAATCTGTAGGATATCTCTTTATTTTGGTTGCTGTCTCTTTGCTGTACAGATGCTTTTTGGTTTGATGTAGCCCAAAGCTGTTTTCTCCCCTGCCTGTTCCAGAACTATTAAACAGCCTCATACTTTGGACAGAGTAGAGGGGGAATAGTCTTCAGAAGAACTTTAGTTTTATACTGTGTAGAGATTTACTACAGATAGTGCAGTAGAGGAGTGACTGGATTTGACTCAATTAATGAATAGGCTGTTTACTGAGGATAGACTGGGGCAAAGGTTAAAACTGGGAGAGCAGACAGGAGCTACTACAGTAATATAGGTAAAAAATGATGGAGGCGTGGGAGGTGGAGGTCCAAATCAACAAGTTTTATTGATAGAGGAGGTATGGAGTATAAAAAGTCAGACATAAGGGCGCAGCGGGTTAAACACAGCATTAAGAAGCTAAAGCCACTTTTGCATGAGTTTGAGCCCTACCCGGAGGTGACGCACATGGCGCAGCAGACCTCTCCTGACCAGCCGGCTACTCCCCTCAGCAGTGTACTTCATTTGCTCCCTACTCTGTCTCTGGTGAATTCTCTCACTGCCCCTGCACCTCTAGCCTGTACCCCAGTTCTGTATGCACAAATAAATAAATCTAAAAAAAAAGCTACTATCTATAAAAAATAAAAAAGAGTCAGACATAAACCAAAATCAAAGGGTGTCTGTTTTGAGCAATTAGGAGAATGCAGCTGCTACTCGTTGAGCTGGAGAATTTTTTGGGTAGAACCAGTTTGTGGAGGAAGATCAGGATCTCAATTTGAAATCTGTTGGGACATCTATTCAATATTCAAGTGGTAATGCCATGTAGGCAGTTGGATAAATAACTCTGGAGTTTGAGAAAAAATGCTTGGCTAGGACATATAAATTTAGTCTCTGCCCTCATATATAGTCATAAACCCATGTGACTTGAACTGAGTTTTAAAAAGGAGGATAAGGCCTCTCTTTTGAACAAGGGGTTAATTCTCAGTGCTGTTACCTCTATGGTAAGAGTTCGAGCTCCAGCCAAGGAGCTAACCTGCATGGTGCAGAAGACCTCTCCTGACCCGCCCACTGCTACCCTCGCAATGTATTTCAGTCTATCTGTCTGTTCTGCTCCCCACTCAATCTCTGGTGAATCCTCTCACTCCTCTAACCTCTGGCCCACACCCCCGTTCTTGTACACAATGAAAAAAGAATATAGGCAGAGATGAGGACCCAATGAACCTCAATAGTAGAAGAAAGGAGGAACAGCTAGTCAGCAGAGGATGTGATGTTAGAACTACACAAAGTAGTACATCAAGTAGAACTATGATAAACTGAGGATAATTAACCACTGGATTTAATGGTGTGGAGGTCACTATCATATTACTTTCTTTGTATTTAAATTGATATAGAGTTATATCATCATTTTTTTTTAAAGATTTATTTATTTGTGCATACAGAACTGGGGTACAGGCCAGAGGCTCAGGGATGGTGAGAGGCTTCACCAGAGACAGAGTGGGGAGCAGAACAGGCAGATCGACGAAGTACACTGCTGAGGGGAGCAGTGGGCGGGTCAGGAGAGGTCTGCCACGCCATGTGGTCACCTCCGGGGCAGGAGGGGATCGAACTCATGTGGAAGCGGCTTTAGATTCTCAGTGCTGTGTTTTAACCCGCTGCGCCACCAGGGAGGGCCCTATATCATCATTTTTAATGGCTCCATAATTTCCTTGGATGGGAAATTTATTTAACCAGCTATTTTATTTAAGGCATTTTGGATGGTGCCAGGTTTTAATTACTGCATACAGTACTACAGTGAACATAATTTATTCATCATATATTATACTTTGTGAATTTATATTACTTCTCTAAGAAAAATTTTAGAATGAAATTCCTGGGTCAAAGAATATGCAAAATTTACTGCAAGAATGACAGTTCCAAATCATATGCTATTAATTAAGCAGGCAGATTTTCTCCAGTGATTTTCAACATTATCAATCCCTGAGAAATCTTGGTCAACTTTATAGCACTAAGAGTGCATTTCATTTTACTATTAGTCTTCACTTATTCTACTATGGAACAAATCTTTAAAATAAATGTACCTTATACCATGGACTCACTAGGAGTCATAGAGTTTTATAACTTTAAAATTTTATTTCCACTGCAGATAATGTCTCTGTTAGTATAGAAAGGAATGGCTTTAAAAAGGATTTAAGGATTGATGTTTGAACTTAATTATTAAGACCAAAAGCAAAGTCTTCCTGTATTGTATTTGAAGGACAGTTCAACTTACAACAATACATCAATTATAATAATCCCTGTCAACTGAGTCACTTCCAACCAGCTGAACATTGAGGAAAACAAGTATTGCTGTGATTTCCCTATCAATTTAGGAAAGATGTGAGGCAATGTGTACATGAAAATATCAGCTTATTTGTAGAAAAAGTATTTAAATAAGTCTATAAAAACAGTATTTACTAATAAGCTATTTTCTGTTAGCTTTTTTTTTTAAAGATTTATTTATTTATTCATATAGAACTGGGGTACAGGCCAGAGATGTGGAGAGTGAGAGGATTCACCAGAGACAGAGTGGGGTACAGAACAGGCAGATAGACAAGTACACTGCTGAGGGGAGCAGCGGGCGGGTCAGGAGAGGTCTGCTGCACCATGTGGTCACCTCTGGGGCAGGTGGGAATCGAACTCATGCGGAAGTAGCTTAAGCTTCTCAGTGCTGTGCTTCAACCCGCTGCGCCACAAGGGAGGGCCAGCTTTTTTTTTTTGGCTGTTAGGTTTTGAATTGAGAAAAGTTTATATGAAAATGCACTACAAAATAACATGAAGTACTCTGGATATTCTTTGAATACTAGGGTTTAAGAGAAAACTACCTTGATGTTATGTTGATATTTATGTGACAATGACAGAACGTTTATGCATCAATGGGACAGTAAGAAACTGCAGAAATGTCTTTCCTTTCTTTCCACTCCTCATGCCTATTACTTGAAATGATTCTGAGCCCTGCTTGTGTGGATCACCACTTCTGTTGAGGGATGGTTTCATCTGTAAAGTTTGGATAGTTTTCTAGGATGTAATGAACTACATGGCACATGGTTGGATATGCAGTGGAATACCCTGATGGTCCTTTCTATTTAGAACTGATTTCACATTGAAATGTGTCTCTGTTTTACTCAAAAATAGCCCAGCTGAAAAATGGATTGAAGTTACATTTTATTTTTTTTTTTTAGAGAGAAAATGACTGTGCTCTAGGCCACAGCATTTATCTTGGAAAACATCTAATAAAAAGACCTAAAATTAACACAAAGTTGTGGTGATTTTTTTCTTTAAAGATTTATTTATTTATGCATACAGAGCTGGGGTTCAGGTCAGAGGTGCAGGGGTGGTGAGAGGATTCACCAGAGAGTGGGGGGAGCCGAAGAGGCAGATTGTCGAGGTACACTGCTGAGGGGAGCAGCAGGCGGATCAGGAGAGGTTTGCCACACCATGTGGGTCACCTCCGGGGCAGGCGGGGATCGAACTCATGGGGAAGTGGCTTTAGCTTCTTAATGCTGTGCTTAACCCGCTACGCCACTAGGGAGGGCTTTGGTGATTTTTAACATAGTATCTTATTTTGCCACTGAGGCAGAGTGAAAATGACTGTTCAAGAACAACAGTATTTTTTGACACAGTTTGAAAATTACCAAGAAAAATAAAAGCACCTAGAAATAAACTTAGCATGAAATGGACATGATTAGCATAAAACAACAAAAATATAATTCTAGTGAAGAACCTCCCTCACTCCCAATAATTATAACCCTAAAGCTTATTTATTTATTTATTTAAAGATTTATTTACTTGTGCATACAGAGCTGGGGTACAGGCCAGTGGCTCAGGGATGGCGAGAGGCTTCACCAGAGACAGAGTGGGGAGCAGAACAGGCAGACCTACGAATAGCAGGCAGATATGATATACTGCTAAGGGAAGCAACGGGTGGGTCAGGAGAGGTCTGCCTCACCATGTGGTTACCTCTGGGACAGGCGGGAATCAAACTCATGTGGAAGTGACTTTAACTTCTTAGTGCTGTGCTTTAACCCGCTGCACCACCAGGGAGGGCCAACCCTAAAGCTTATTTAAAAAAAATAAAATAATTTGGATAGATTGGAATTCATACATTGTCTTCCGATGGGATGCCCATCCTTTCCTATATTAAGCTGTAAATCTACTGTAATCCCATTAAAACCTGCATAAATAACTCTAAAGTTCTTGTAAAGGATAAACATTTAAGAGTAAAAAAGATTACTAGAGAAAATTATACTAATTTGGGAAAAGGTATAGCAAGAAAGAATGTTAAAATATGTGATTGTGATAATTAAAACGGTAAATGGACTTTCAGTAGAACTTAATAGAGAGACTAGAGATGAGTTGGAACATTTCACAATTTTTTATAGTGGTTTATTCTGTCTTAGGCGGACATAGAACGCCATAATATTCTGAATCAATTGGTTCACTGAACAAAAGAGTTAGCATTCCTACTTCATTTCTTATATTAAAATAAACTGCAGGCAGACCTCTTCTGACTCGCCCCACTGCTCCCCTCAGCAGTGTACTCACACCGCCCCTGCACCTCTGGCCTGTACCCCAGTTCTGTATTATAAATAAATAAACTGCAGACATTAAATATAAAAAGTAATATAAAAGAAACAATAGAAGAAAATATAAGTAAATATTTGATCTTGGGCTGCTGCAATGATACTAAGCATAGAAGAAAAATAGAAAACAACAATAAAAAACTGATAAATTAGCAAAAATTTAAGTTTTTGAAATACTCTAAGTATGATTTAAAGGCAATTGACCAGTAGAGCACTTACCCAGATAAGAGATAAAAGATGATCATCATGTAAAATTTAAAATAGCAAATTTTTTTCTAGGATCATAGACCAGTAAATCTATCATTTTCCCTTTATAATCACTCAACCAAAAAAAAAATGACCAATCATTTTTGAATCAAATATCCCAGAGGACACATTTGTTAGCCTCATCTAATTAAATTCTATAAATCATTATAAGAAAATGAGCAAAGGTCATGAATAGGAAAGGTAATTGACAAAGGGCACTTAGATAAAATTAATAAACAATGTTTTTTTAGAGAGGTAGGAAAACTGGCAAAAAACAAGTATTTTAATTAAGCCAAAAATTCAGGAAAGAGCTGAAATAAATACCTGTACCATAAATTATGCAGTGGAGTTTCCTGCTTTTGGGGAAATCAGGGCTTAGCACACCTGGGGTGTAATGAGGGAGCCTCACCTGTGAAGACCACCTTTGTGATCATAGTGTCTCCTCTGCCAGGTAATAAGAACAAATTTTTAAAAACCTTCTACAACACAAACTAAAATAATGAAATTTCATTTAAATCTACTAAATTGGTAAAGATGAATTACATAATATCTCAGTTAGAGTGGAGAATAAGCCCTCCATAACATTATTGGTGAACCAATAAGAAATTAGAGGGCAAGAGGAAAAGTCACTTTTCCTTTAATCAGGAATACCATAGTTAGGATTTAGTCAAGGAAATGATTCAGAAGGTAAACAAGGGACATATACAAGCAGCTTTTATATTAGAAAAAAAATCTGCCTATAAATGAGGTATTAATTAAAGAAGGCATGGTGTACTCATTCCATTTAATACAGTACATATGTTAAATGTACTTAATGACATGGTAAAATATGCTCTTATTTAAATAACAAATCATTTTGTAGAACTGCAAGATCCTAATTATGTGGTTTTAAAAAGAAGTACAGTGCAGTAATATTTGCATAGAAAAGTGAATGATATGTCAAATGTGAACATTCTCAGCACTGAAATGCAGGATTACAGAGGAAGTCAATTTTTTATAGCTTTTCTATATTTTCCAAATTTTCTACAATAAAAATAAGTTGTAATCAGAACCTTCTAACTCTGTAATTTTTTTCACTTAGTAAGTTAAAAGAAGTCCACTACTCTGAAGAGACTATTTGAGTTCTCAGGGAACTGAACACACATGACATTTATTTTTAGTTTATAAAAGAAAATGTTTCCTTTATATATGCTACAGTAGGCAATGATGTGTTGATTAACAAGATTCTAACTTGAAACTCAATCCCTACTAAATAAAAAAAAATTACACTAGAAGCTAATTGAAATGTCAATGGTTTGAAAAAACAATCATAACAAAGGCAATAGATGCAGCAGTAAAAGCTGTGGGAAGGTACTGACAGTCAGATTTTGAAGAATGGATTTGCCGAGCGACTCAGGCAGTGAGAGCAGAAAGAAGTCTCTGGAACAGAAGCATGGGAACAGAAGCGTGTCTTACTTCTGGACTGTTAAGACATGAGGGCAAAGGCTGTCAACATTTCCAGGGATTGTGCTGCTTACCGAGCATCTCCCTATCTACAAATAAGCCAGTTCCCAAGCTTGACCAGGTGCTGGAAGGGCCATAGCAGTATCTTCTGCCAGTCTGCCCTCAATCAGGAACACTAGGGGCATCTCACCAAAGTGCCCACTGAAATCCCATCCTGCCAAGTAAGGTTGCAGAGTGAGAGGTGTGACTAAGTGCAAACAGCTGGAGTGGGAGAGGAGCAGGGTTGCTGCCCTGACAGAGGGGAAGTTGAGCATGTATGGGAAAAGGGGGAAGAGTAAGTGAGGAGATAAGAGCTTTGGGGAGCAACACTTGATGAGGGACAGCCCCTGTCAAGGTCCTTAGAAGGATCATTCTGATGCTGGCCAGGGTCAGAGATAACCCAGATGTAGAAAATTCTGTCACACTTAACTGGATGGACACAGCTTGAGCCCTTGCCTCCTAGCCCAGTGTTTTCTTTGTTTGATCACAAATATCTTGCAAACTTTTAGGTGTTTCAAAAGATCCATAATTTTCTATGTCTTTTACCATAAACCCAAGAACTAAAGTTTCCACATCTAAATTTAAAAACAGAAATTGCTGGCATCCTCTTTCAACAATTTTTGTATTTTTTTACAATACTGGAACTATATCAATTTTTTTTAAAGATTTATTTATTTGTACATACAGAACTGGGGTACAGGCCAGAGGCTCAGGGGCAGTGAGAGGCTTCACCAGAGACAGAGTGGGGAGCAGAACAGGCAAATCGACGAAGTACACCGCTGAGGGGAGCAACGGGCGGGTCAGGAGAGGTCTGCCACACCATGTGGTCACCTCCGGGGCAGGCGGGAATCGAACTCATGTGGAAGTGGCTTCAGCTTCTCATTGCAGTGCTTTAACCCGCTGCGCCACCAGGGAGGGCAGGAACTATTTCAATTTTAAAAAATAGACTCACTATGAAATACTTGTTATATATATAAAACATGTTATATTTTAATAGTTCTTGTTATTTTTAGTGAAAACCAACAATTTAAATGTATTGATTAATCTAGGAACAGATCAGATGAAACCATCCAGTGACTAAGTATTTCATAGTGAGTCTATTTTTTTAAATTGAAATAGTTCCGGCCCTCCCTGGTGGCACAGCGGGTTAAAACACAGCACTGAGAAGCTAAAGCCACTTCAGCATGAGTTCGATCCCTGCCCACCCCAGAGGTGATCCACATGGTGTTACAGACCTCTCCTGACACACCCTCTGCTCCCCTCAGCAATGTACTTTGTCAGTTGGCCTGTTCTGCTCCCTGCTCTGTCTCTGGTGAATCCTCTCACCGCCCTTGCACCTCTGGCCTGTAACCCAGTTCTGTATGCATAAATGAATAAATCTTTAAAAAATATAAATATATATATTATATATATATAACATAATATATATATATATATAATATATATATGTAACATGTTTGTATGTTTGTACCCCACATAACTCATCCCTGTACCAGTTGTGGTTTATAGCCTGTATTCTGGGACACCATTTTAGATAAAGAACCTGGAGAAGATGGCATGAGTCCATAGGCAAAAAGTTGGGCTGCTTTCCAGAGCCTAGAGCAGTGGAAATCCATGAGAGAGAGACAGCTTCGGAACCCACCTAAAGCACTGAAGCCGAAGTCCTTGGGCAAACCGGCCAGCCTGGTACTCTTCTCCATCCATCACCGAAGGCACCATCTCTGTGTCCTGCACTATAACAGCCATTTCACTGTCTCGCTTTCCCAGCATGCTTCGGTCATTTATGTTGGCAGAGCCTAAACAGGGACACAATGTAATTTAACAACTTTCGCTATACACCTTTGCCCTCCCCATTAAATTCTTTCTTGATGACAAAATCCTAAATTTGTTCAGGTTGTCAAGAGATGAAATGCTTTAAAGAGAAGAGAGCCAGCCCTCAACCAGCAATTAATTTTGACCATACTGAGCCAGCCAAGATAAATTCACTATTTATGCAGTGATTGGCTTAGTTATGGGCACTTGATACATTTCTAGTCAGTGTGATGCAAAGTAAAGCCCACTAGAGTCTTTTCAGAAAGCTTTCCTCCTTTTAATAATTTGACACTAGAAAAGGATGTTGTTTTTCCAGCCTTAGGATATTTTGACTTGAGAGGCTGGATGAAGGCTTTGTTCCAGGACCTGCTGAAGCCACATTGTAACACATAGGAGGCACATCATGGCAATGCAGAAAGAAGCACCACTCTGGGTCTTTAAATCAGTGACCCCTAAGACTTTCTAACCTTCTATCTGTGAAATAATACATTTCTTTATTGGATCACACACTTCTAGTTGTGTTTTCTGTCTTGTGGTTCAAACTGATATAATCATCAAACACACAAAGACAAACATTGACTAGTTCAGTAGAGAAGATGGCTTTGCTTTTAGACTTGAGAATCAAGCTCTGTAATTCATGTCACACAATCACAAATGTCAAACCCAAAAGCCCTTTCATGGCCCACTCCCGCACCTGTGGAGTGGGCCAATGGCTTTAGTATCAATTTCTCACCACCCTATTTTTAAATCCAAATGATTCAAGAATGTTGACTTTCCCATGCGAAAGGCAAGTATCTATTTGTTCACCCTGTGCTTTCTGTGCTCCTCAGTCATGTTTTCAGAAACCCCATGATGTTTGCTTTTTAGATTCATCACAGCAGATTCCCACAAGCTAGGGAGTCTGACCGACTCCTCTTCCTTTTCTTCCCCTTTCCCTAGTCACACATTTCACTGCCTCCTGCAGACACAATGGAAAATGGGGTTGACCAGCTGCATGTCTACTCTCCTTGACAGGGTAGACAGGACATAAGGGGACAGCAGCTTTGCTCCACCCCCCAAGGATGGGTCATCAGAAAAAGCTGTCCCTTTGGTGACCATATGGTCACTTGCTGCATCATTGTCACATTGTTGATATACAAATCTGTGCTAATTGTAGATGCAAGTAGTGGCCCACGGTGGCCTTGGGTGACCAGCATGGAACACCTTACAGAAATGTGGGAGCACTGTGCAAGTGCTGCAAAGTGGGAATCTTTGAAACACCATTTTGTGAGCAATAAATGATTGTTTATGTTTATATTTGATTTTGCTGTACATTTTGGCTTCTAGCTTTGGGTTTGACAGATGACCTAGTATTAGTGTGGGCAAAGCCATTGCATCTTTCTCAGTTTTAATTTGATCTTTTATAAATTTAGGTCATATTGTAGACCTTCTAGGGTTTTTTGTGAGGATTAAACAAGATCATGTGAAAGCACTTTCCAATCTATGAACTATAAATGTTAATTATCATTGGCATTAGTAACAAGTACTTGTTAACTCCATAATGCCTGCATCAGAGAATGCTACCATAGGAAGAGACAGTTTGTTGGCATGTAACATTTGTATCAAAGAAGTCTCCTCCTGGGTTAATCATCTCCCATTCAGGTATGTGAAGTGTAAGAAAGGTAAGGGTTCTCTTAGCAGTGCTTTGGGACTGCACTACCCTGAATCCCCTGTAGAGGCCACTCTCCACCTGGGGGATGTGGCAATGGGAGAACATTTTCACTGTCAGGAAAAAGAGGTGTGAGCCACACACACACACACACACACACATCCACACACACACGTCTCACATATACACTCTCTTTCTCTCTCTCTCACACACACACACTTCCACAGAATTCCCCAAGCTCGCTCTCTCAAACACATATACACTCACGCTCACACATACACACTTCCACAGAGTTCCCCAGGTTCTCTCTCTCTCTCCCCCCCACACACTCTCACACTCACATTCTCTCTTTCTCACACATTCACACATATACTCTCTCACACACACATACTTCCATAGAGTTCTCCAGGCTCTCTCTCTCTCTCTCTCTCTCTCTCTCACACACACACACACAATTCTCTCCCCCCTCTCTCTCACATTCTCTCTCACACACACACTCTCACACACCCACTCACTCTCTCTTTCCCTCTCTCACACACACACTTCCACAGAGTTCCCCAGGCACTGCTTGCTGAACTACAATTCTTTGGAACAGGTGTTACTTGTACTTCAGGGCTAAAATGGAGTTACCCAGAGGATTGCAAAGAAAGATTGAGAAAATTTTAGATATATTTAATTTTTCAGTATAATGAGAATAAAAAGAGAAACCACAAATTGAAGGAAGATATGCACAACACACAGTATTCAGAACACACAAAGAACTCTTATAAGTCAAAAAGAAAAGATACTGAAAATGAGATATTGGTGGATTTAAATGCTACCTACATTCTTGCTCAATGTTCCCATATTCTGCAAATCAATTTTGGAGCAGCAGATATGGTATATTCCCAGTTCTATATAAAATGAAGAAGAAAGAACAAGGGAGCTAGATAAGGCATTTAATTTTTAAGAGTGGCAAGAACTTCTAGCAAAAAGAGATAATCGCAATAAGGGGAATTTTGACCTTTTATTCTACACACACCCTTAGAGCTTGAATTGTTTATAACAAATTGTTTATAACAAATTGTTTATATGTGCTTGGACTCACTCAAGTGCCTTCCTAGGCCTGTCCCTTCTCCACCCTACCTCTCCCCCCCCCCCCACCAGAGGGAAACTTTCCTTTTTCTTTTTAAATTATTTTCTTACTTTGTTATTCATTTTTGGATGGTATTTGATTCCCCCCCTCAGCTGTAGTCCCAGTGGCTCTCCCACTACCACAGTCCCCACGATCCATTTCCACATTCCTTGTGCTCTTCCCTCCTGTTCTGAGCCCTCTCTAAGAGGGAGATGTCTAGAGAACATTGTGCTCACTATACATATTTTCCTCAACAGAAAAATTCACTCTTTTTGTAAAAAAATAAAAAATAAAAATAATAATAATAAAAAATTTAAAAATTAAAAAAAACAACAACAAAATTCACTCTTGACTTGTTTTTAATTTTTATAAATGCAATCATATGATACATAACCTTTTCCAGATTTGCTTCTTTCAGTCAATATTATGACTCTGGGACTTATCTGTCCACAGTCACAATGCATTATTTTCCTGAAATGAGTACACTAAGATTCATTCATTCATTAATTGTTAATGGATGGGGTTTGCTTCCAGAGTTTTGCTATGATATACAACTGTGTTCTATGTGTTTCCTGGTGTACACAAGTAGAAGTTTGGGCTCTTCAAATAGAAGTGAGTGCACTGCTGAGCTGCTGGGTGTGACTTCATTTGTTAAGAGTCATGCAGAATGTTCTAGTTGGTTTCAATTTATATTCCTATTATCAGTGGAGACCAGTTCCTGGTAGTTCACAGCCGGGTCAGTATTTGAATTGTCAACATTTTTATGATGGCTAACTGGTAATTTTTAAAATTGTTTCTTATCTCATTATTATATTAATAAAAATAAACAACTTTTATACTTATGGACCTCAGGTATTTCCTCGTTAGTGAAGTTTCTATACAATTCCCTTTGCCGATTTTCCTGTGAATGTTATCTTTTCTTTTTGATTTATAGGAGTTCTTTGTGTGTTCTGAATATTGTGCATTGTGAATATCTTCTTTCAACTTGCGGCTTCTCTTTTTATTCTCATTATACTGTATTTTCGTGAACAGACTTCTGGATTTATCTTTTCCTTCATGGTTTATGAGGTTTTTTTTTTTTAGATCTTTTAAAAAATTTTGAATCTTTCTGTGGCAGACAGACCAGTAACCTATAAGGATGACCATGTCCACGTCCCCAATGTGAGTGAACATACTATGTTACTGTTATAGTGGGAATTAAGGTTGTAGATGGAATTAAGGTTGTTGATCTGTTGCCCTTAAAACAAAGAGAGTCACCTGAATTACCCACCTGAAAACATGTACTCACTCACAAAGGTCCTTACAGTAAGGGAGAGTTCGAGCGAGAAATGATTCAGAAGAGCAGGACAAGGCTTTAGGAAATGTTTCTGTCTTCAAAGGTGGAGGAAGGGGCCTAAGAAAAGGAATGTGGGCTGCCTCTAGAGCTAGAAAATTCAAGGAAATGGACTCTCCTTTAAGACTCCAGGAAGGACTCTGTAGCTCTGGCCATACCCAGATTTTAACCCATTGAGACCCCGGTGGGCTTTCTAAACTGCAGAACTTAGATAATGTATTTGTGCTGATTTAAGTCACTAAGCTTGTGGTCATTTGTTATGGCAGTAACAGACAACCAATGTACCAAATTCGATTCTGTTATGGCTTACTTGTTTTAAAGAAAATCTTATTCTCCTACTGATCCCAAATAGTACACTGTAGTTTCCACCTACTTGTGTACCCTCTCCCCCTGATCAGAAGTTTTCAGCTTACGAATACACGTGAGCATCACCAGGGAATTTTTAAAATTTAATTATGCCAAAAACAAAAGCAAAATAATACTGGTGTGGTGTCTCAAACCAGACCAATTCATCACAACTTCTGAAAGTATGCACCAATCATCACTAATATTTGTATTTTTTTCAATGCCACTCCATTTTTTTTTTAAGATTTATTTATTTATGTGCACAGAGCTGGGGTACAGGCCAGAAGTGTAGGGAGTGAGAGGATTCATCAGAGACAGAGTGGGGAGCAGAACAGGCAGATGTACTGAAATACACTGTTGAGGGTGTTATAGGGCAACCCAATGTGAAGTGGGTTGCCTGTCTGTGGGTCCTCACCTGCATGCTTAAATTTCAATTGTACTGCAGGCACACACAAAAAGGGTCAATAATGGGTTTATTTACAAAGGGGAGAGAAAAAGGTACAATCCAGGGAAAGAGACAGAAAGAGTGAGAGATACAAGTAGAACATCCTACCAGCTCTGCAGACTTGGATCACTAATAACACACTGAAAGCTCATCAAGAAGCAAGCAACCAGCCAGCAGTCACACAGTCCAGAGAGAAAGAGAGAGTGCGTTTAACATGGCTCTCTTATATATATCCCCCAAAGTCCCAGAATGCCTACTTAGCTCTGCCCTTTTGTCTTCACAGTTCTCTCCATGGTATTGCTGGGAGTTATAGTTTCAGTGACTGGAGTAGGGGATGGAGTTCAGAAAACTGGAATAGGGGGTGGAGTCCACAAAACTGCAGAGTTCCTTCAGGACATCCTTTCCCCCTAACAAGGGGGGCAGCGGGTGGGTCAGCTCCCTGGCGAGGGATCAAACTCGTGCTGCAGTAGCTTTGGAGAGCTTTATAATATGGTGCTTTAACCCACTGTGCCACCAGGAAGAGCCCCCACTTCACTGTTTATCTGTCACTCATGAATATATCTTTTGGAGTGATTTATTTTATTTTTATCATTAATTGCTTGGCCATTGGTTTACACTCTAAATAATATGTAGGAGTATAACTTCACATCTAGACAAATGTGAGATCTATTTTGAAGTAAATTGCAGACACCAATAAACTTCCCCCTATGTGATGTATTTTAAATAACTGGGGTGGTTTTAATGCAGCCAGGTTGACTCACAGGACCAGCTAGAGTGTGATCCCTAGTTTCTGACCAGGAGCCCCCTGTTGATTCTCATGCAGGTGGAAAGACCTGTCTTTCCGCTAGACTGACCTCTGTAGGGGAGTGACAAGGTTTCCTTCATCATGCTAGCTCCCTGTTGTGCTGTGCAGTGGATTAGTGAATATTAAAATAAAATTGTTTCATGCAGTCAACAGGGTAATTTACTTAAATTCTACATAAGGTTAGCCTTGTTCTGTTTAGCAAAGCTAGTAAATGTAAGTTTGGTTAAGTGCCAATAATAAGATGGACTTAAAACCTGGAATTGGTCACAGATTTCATGACCAACAGGGCACCCGGGACAACAGATACCTACGTCTATGCAAAAAAAGAGGTTTTCAGTGTGAGAAAATAAATATTTCCTAATGAGGAAAAACATGAGGATGAATAGTCATTTTTCTTATGCCAGTTATTCAATAATTCTGGCATAAATTTGCCAACCTAAAACATTAATTACAGGTTACTTTACCTTCTTTTATGTTTAAGACCCATAAAATATTCTCAACCTAACTTCCCAAACTCCTTTCTGGGAATTTTAAACACAGTTCTCTGTGTTATGAACTTAACCAGAGCCAATATTTGAGAACAGCAATGAAAATCTTATTTAAAATTAAAGTTTCCAAGGAGAAAAAAAAGTAATACCTATGGATTTTTCCTTAGGGAAAATCTGTTCTGCCCTTGGGCAAGAACAAAAGAAAGACTCAGCCTCCACAAACTGAAGAGAGACCCTTTCATACCTCCCAGGCTATAGCTTTAGTATCAAGAGAATTAAAAAGAATTATATGCAAAATTGAACCATTGTTGCTAGTCTAAATAAATTGCTGCTTTGAAGGTTCAAAGACCTTTCTAGAAAGGAAGTGAATTAACACACTCAAAAAACCTATTTAACTGTTAGCTGTTACTGAAAACTACTTTGCATTTCTACTTCATGTAAAGTGAAGCAGGTTGAAAGTCAAAATGACCTCTAAAAGGAAAATACTTATATCTGCCAATTTTTACTTCAAGAGTTTTTAAATCTTACTTAAGAGATCCATTGAATTTTATTTGGCTTGTTTCATTTTTCCATTTCAGTAAACATCAATATTTTTCCCTTCCAACTGTCACAGCCAACTTTTAATATAAAAAAAAAAAAGTTAAGATTGGCCTCTGAAGACCAAGGCAAGAAGCTTTGGGGAAATAAGAGAAACATTGTTTATTTTGGTCACAGGGGCACTGAAACCCCTATAGGGAGTTTTAATGTCTATAAAGAAAAAGATTGAAAATGTATTTTTCCTAAATAAGTATTAAGTGCTTCCCTATGCAAGCATGAGCGAATGGGAATGTATATACTACAGTATATACATTTTTCTGACTTCACAACTCCTTTTTTTTTTTTTTCCAAATTATGTTTAGATTAAGAAAATCTCATTACTCCTAGACATGGTTTTTTTTTTTTTTTTTAAATAAGTGTTGGATCAAGATGACAAAAGCATACTTACTGCTTAAAACTTTAAAACACTACCCAATATTTACTTTCTTAAAGGATAGGGCAATATTTTAGTTGTGGAGTTATATTTTATTTAAAACAGATGTACAGATTTCCCAATAGTGTGATATTATCATATATGGACATAGCTTTTCTCTATGGTCAACTCCTTTATCCTTTAATACTGTTTCTCATCCTGGCTTTCCATTGTTTATGTCACATAGTAGAATGATGGGAAAACATAGCTTTTCATATGCATAAAAGGATGAAATTGAACATCCACTCCCCATGTTGATCTAGTCTGCATAGAATGTAAAACCAGTAACTCTTTCTCTCCTAAATCTGCCAGTAACGGGAGGACTCTTGAGAAATCTATTGTGTATTGATTATAAGAAAAGATGGTAGACTTTTGCTTAGTTTACATCACATCAGTGCTACACAATTTCTTACACACACACATGCCAATAAAACTGCTCCTCTCTGCATCCTCGTTAGTGATATCCAAAACATAGACTAGGGGAAAAATAGTAAGCACTGAGGCAGTAATATTTAATATCACTTTAATTTTGAATCTTTCATAACTTCAGATCTGTGGTAATGATTAGTAGATGCAAACATGCAAATTACCATCAGTTACTCATTTATGACATATGCTTCCCAATTCCAATTTCTCCAATTCCAATCCTCTAATTCCAGGTACTTGGATTCAAAATTAAAGTGATGGATAATAAGGAATTAATGAAAGCAGACAAATTACTGCACTGCACTGCTGTGTTTAAGCTGCTGTCTCTGGATACTGTAATTTGCACAAAAGCAACTTAATTGCTTCTTCATAGATAAAAATAGGAACTAGTAAGGATGCAAGAGGAAAAGACAGCTTAAGAAAAATTTACATGTTGAGTTACTGTCCCTCTCAATTCAAAAGGAGCTTGAGAGTAATACAGAGAAAGGTTTTTGTGTGGGGTAAGTCAACTAGCAAGGATGTAATTACAGACCATGTACTTACCGATAATAACAGTGTTGTCATCAGCAATTAGCAACTTGCTGTGGACATAGATGAGCTCAGTGACTAGGTTTCCTTCAAGTGATGAGTGTGTTCTAAGGCCACAGAATGATATGTAATTTATCCACTGGTTACCAACTGTAAATTAAAGAAGAAATTGCTAAAATTAATATGACCAAATGAAGTAAAAGCATATAAAATTTTCTTATCTTTCAAAATTAATATACTACTTCTACAGGTTTTAAGAACATACACTGTGTGTGTATCTATGCGCATGTATGGTTTCAGAATTCATCATGGATCTACTTTTGGTCTCTAAAGATTTTTATACAGTTTGTCTGAGTGGGTAGACATTTAAAAAAAATCATATTTAATTGGATGTCTTCAGATTATATTGCTGTCTCTATGCTTACTATTTTTTCCCTAGCCTATATTTTGCATATCTTTGAACAGGACACAGTGTGGAAGAGCAGAGTGAAAGGTGGCCTTGTGTATAGCTATGTGTTTGCATGTGTGTGCTGTGTTGGAAATAATGTAGTATTGATATGGTGTAGCCTTAGACTGTGTATTCCTTTGGTCAAGGCAATTCGCATATACATTCAACTATGAACATTTTATTGTAAGGTTTGGTAGGTAATTACTAAAAGAGTGCTAATTAAAACTGAGCCAGAGGAGACTGCCCATGAGTTCAGCGTGAGTTCTAGCATCTACTTGGTTGGCACCTGTTACAATTTAATCAGACCAAGATGTGTATCCAAACTAGCTGATGTAAATATATATAGCTTGTAGCATATTTAGCACAAAGCAGATTTAATGGTACAGATTTTGAGCAAATAGAAATGTTGGCGATTAACGTCCACTCCTAAATTATTTAAATCAGGACATGTATCCTGGTTACATTTGACCTTGGAGAATTTTCTTCAGGACAAGCAGTATCAGGTTTGCACTTTAAAATACTGCTTTCTTGTCATGTGAGGGCCGTGCAGGTGATAAGAAGAAATACATTCAAGTCATTCCATAATCATTACCTAGTATGAATGTTAGTCACAGATTTTATGGGTTCTCTCCCACATAGTAGTTGTTCTGGGTAAGCAAAGCCTGATACTAAGAATAAATGGAGTGGAACCAAGCCATCACAAATTCTAATAGAAAGAAAATAGAAATGTCCCCCACCCCACAAGACAGTCCAAAGCATACTCATAGAAGAACTGGTAGTTCATATTCAATTTGTTGATGTTTTCTGTATTACTGAGGTTTTCTATTTTACAGTTGATGGTATTCATTGATTCTACTAAAATTTGGTTACTTGGAAATGCATTCATAAGTTTATAGACAGATTTCCCCATTTACAGCTGACCCTTTCCTCTGTGTGAGTGATATTGTAGCTGTGCTTGCCACGAACTGATGTCTTGGTATGCTATTACATATTGTGGAGCAGGTGGGTTTCTAAGCATTTATATGTAATTAGATTTTTGAAAATAAACTTTGTCTCTATTTGCTAAGGTATATTGGAAAGATGCTTAATCTAAAGTATCTCCTCTTCTTTAAAGTCTTCTTTGATCTTGGAGAGAGAAACATTTCCTTTTTTAGTTCTTTGTGCCCATAAAATTCCTGGAAAGTATCTCTAATATAGTACCTAATATATTATTTTACAAATATTTATTGAATTTTCCATTTCTCTTACTATTATGGGGGGGGGTCTTATCTACCTTCACATACTTAATCTTTGCATGGTTCCAAAAACAACTGAATAAATGAATGGATGAAAGAATATTCAGATAAAAACTATTTTAGTTTTTGGTTTCTCTGTACCACCTACTTTCCTGCGATTGGCTCATGATATAAAATTTTAAGACAAAGCCACTTTCAAAAGGTAATATAGGGAAAATTCTTTGCTGAAATAAACATTTTTTAAAATTAACTTTCCATTATGACTCATTGAACCATATATTGGAACCAGTAGTTCTCAGTGTATGTTAAGACCAAATTTTGGGAACCTTATTAGAAGTGAAATCTGGGAATCCCCATATCAAAAGTGTTGATTCAGTAGAAATCTATAATTCCGTAAGTGTGTTAGGGGATATAATTTTTTGAATGACACAGCAATGTAGCCTTGGTAGTTACAGATTTAAGATCAGCAATACAACATTCAGAAAATAATATGTCATGATTAGGGGAGCTGTATTCTCAGGGCAGAAATGTACTCAATTTTATGGAAATTGATTAATATAAAACAGGTTATGAAGCTAAGGCAAATAAAACCACATAATTAACTAAACTGATACTGAATTTGTATACATATGTGCACATATGTTTACAAAGGACTTAAAGAATGGTGTCCTAGAACAACAATTATATAAAGCGGCTTGATTCTAGTTTCTAAATGCCAATTTCCACTAAACCACCAATGTCTTTGGAGACATAGCTAGCTCCACAGCTAGTTTTAGGAATGTACAAGATAAGTCTGGAATTCTTATTGTAACAACTTAAAAAATAACGAACTGATGGTGATGTGTTATAACACAAGACAGCTTAAAAAATCCTTCACCAAAATTATAACCCACTTAATAAAACAAGTTTTTGTTAATCTATACTAAGATATTTAGATGAATGAATACATAAGTGGAGAAGGAAGGGAAAACTTTCCTTAGAGTAGAATTTCAACTAAAAAATTAGTCTTAGCCCAGCTGATGTTTATAGCTTGAAAACTGAAGGCTGCTGAAGAGCAGAACAGACACAGTGTTAAAGATCAAGAAAAGAAAAAGAACTTTGGAATTAAAAACATACGAGTAAAAATTCAAATGCTTTTTAACTTAAAAAAAATTAAGTAGGAAGTAAAAATTTACCAAACAAATGATGGAATTAAAAAATAGCACTTGGTAATAATTAGAATTAATAATTGGCTCATAAGAATCATTAATGTGTGCTAAATCCAGGGGGTAAATATTTGATGAGAAGTAGGCAGTTTTTTTATACTTAAAGTGTTTTCCTACAAAAACAGTAACTTTAGAGTGGAGAAACTATGAATGAATTTCATTCATTTTGCTAACCAAAATGTCTGGTATTTTCTCACACAAAACTAGTGATAAAGGATTGATCACAAAAATTTACGGAGAACTGATCAAACTCAACAAAAATAAATAACCCCATCCAAAAAATGGGCAGAAGAACTAAAAAGACACTTCTCCAAAGAGGAAATGCAGATGGCTAAGAAGCATATGAAAAAATGTTCAACATCACTTGTAATAAGGGAGATGCAAATTAAAACCACAATGAGATTCCACCTCATCCCAGTGAAAATGGCACATCTTCAAACAACTAGCAACAACAAATGTTGGCAAGGATGTGGAGAAAAAGAAACTCTCCTGCACTGCTGGTGGGAATGCAAACTAGTACAACCACTATGGAAAACTGTTTGGGAGTTCCTCAAACTGCTAAATATGGAGCTCCCTAGGACCTAGCAATCCCACTCCTTGGTATCTACCCAAAAGACACAAGAACGCCGATTCAAAAAGATACCTGCACACCCATGTTTATTGCTGCTTTATTTACAATTGGAAAGACATGGAAATAGCCCAAATGCCCAAACATGGATAACTGGATTAAAAAGATGTGGTACATATACACAATGGTATATTACT